GACGGTATGGATCATGACCATCACGACTACGTCCAACAATTGGTGTGGACAATGAATAAGCATCAATCATATTAAATCTTTGCAAGATTCATCTAATATACGTTAGTTGGTAGAGAAAAATACTACCATCTGTAAGATGCATAATATGAAGACCAATGCAAAAAGTTATTTTTCCTAGCATTTTCATCTCAAATTTATGTATAAATAGGTTTGTAGCTGTAATACATACAGATGTAGTGCCCACTAGGTTAAGATCATAAACATATATAGCGATGATCACAAAACCAATTTTATCTCGTTTGATAAATCACCAAGGGATTAGTGGATCACTTATAAAATTATTTGTAATTAAATAATCTCGAAGACGTTGATACTACATTTGTCCAAATTCTTTTAAACCATACAAGGCCTTTTATAATTTAATACCACGATATTTTCTTAGAGCGGGTTGATTTGATGTTCTTGTTTTTAAGTTAGGTGGAACTTTCATATAAATATTTGCATCAAGAGAACCATATAGATATACAGTAACTACATCCATCAGATGCATCTCAAGGGTAGTATGAATTATCATTCCAATAATATATCAAAATGTAATTGAATCCATAACTAGAGAATATGTGGATTTATAATCATGCCAAATTGTTGAGCAAATCCTTGAGCAACAAGACGAGCTTTATAGCGATTTATTTGGCCTTGAGTATCTTGCTTGCATATTAATATTATTTTATATTCCACGGGGCGAGATGTAAGAGTGTCTACAATTGGATCAAAGACTTTCTTCTTACGCAAAGAGGCATATTCCTCCTCAATAGCAGTTTTCTATTTTGACCAATCTGAGCGACGCATCGCCTCTTCGATGGTTTGAGGTTGAGGATCATCTTCCTTGCAAGAAAGGGCTTCTATAATCATATATGCAAATGATTCATCTACCATAATAGATGGTCTATCCCAAATATCATCTATATCACAATACAGAATAGATAATTCTTTACTCAACTTATTTTTATTTCTTCCAATTCCAAGATAGTTTTTCATAGGAATTGAAGGTACATTATGCATGGATATATCATCATGAATTGGTAGTCCTGCAAGATGAGTGGTAATTTCTTGAGAAATAATATAAGTATTAATTAATTTTATAGCTTTCTTCTTACGTGGTTGCTTATCTGGTCTACAAATTCTTTTAATTGTTGTTGTTATAACTTGAGGTATTGTAATCAATGGCACTGCAATCTGAGCCTCATTAATAGGAACTCTTGTAATTCTAAGTGCATCATTGAAGCCATCAGGTGTTTCATCTGCAATCCGTATTAAATACAAAATCTTAGCAACTTCAGTTTCTTTCAAAGATGTCTTAGGATCGGGATTCATTGTAAACGTTTTTGGTGCTTCAAATATGAATACTTTATTTCTTCGTTGATTGGATACTCCTCTTTGAAGAGATGGAAATACAGTTTCTTTAAACGGCAATTTTACAAACGTGCACGTAATAATGTGCCAGTTGATGGATCAACAATACGAATAATGCTTGGTGAATCAAAACCAACATATATGCCTTCTTGTCGATGAGCTCCAATGGTACGTCGTTGAGGTTTTGGTACTGGAATCCAAGCACAACAACCAAATATTCGTAAGTGAGATATATTTGGAACATGATCCAAAATGAGTTCATGTGGTGAAATAATTTCAAGAGAAGAAGGGTGGAGGCGTATTAATGTTGTAGCATGTAAAACTGCATGACCCCACATAGATGCAGGTAGATTTGCGTGAAGGGAGAGTGGCCGGGTAATGAGTTGTATATGCTTTATAAATGACTCTGCAAGTCCATTTTGAGCATGTTCATATGGAACACAATATATCAACTCGATTCCTGTTGCAATACAATAGTCTTCAAAAGACTTTGATGCGAATTCTTTTGCATTATCCATACGTAATGTTTTTATAGGATAATCAGGAAAATGTACTCGAAAGTGAATAAGCATAGATATAAGATTGGCAAACACCATGTTTCGAGTTGATAATAACGAAACATGTGATTGTTTACCTGATGCATCAACAATGACAAAAAAATAACGAAATGGTCCTGATATTGGATTAATAGGACCACAAATATCATTATACAATCTTTCAAGCATTGGTGGTAATTCTTGTAGAAGTTTCCAAATTGAAGGCCGAGTAATCATTTTACCTTCCATGCATGTACGACATAATTCCATAGAGTCTACATCTACAGGCTTTAAATTATGCCCAGTTATATATGGAATGATCTTTCTAAATAATGTGGATCTTGGATGTTCCAATCGTCCATGCTAGAGAGAAACACGACTCTCTGAGATAGATGATGTAAAATTAAATATAATGGGAGGCCGAATCACAATTTGGTATAAACCATTTTCTGTAGCAAAAGCTTTTTCAACAACTTAATGGTTCTTCGCAAGAACCAAAACCTCTTTTTTATTTAAAGTGGCGGTCGAGAGGTGATAACCATTAATACGCATATCTTGGTAGCTAACCAGACTCCGAGGTGCTGAGGGTGCAAACATCGCATGTTTACATTTTATAATGGAATCCATAGGTAATTTTACCATCACTGTGCCCTCTTGGAAACTAAACGCATTTGCTCCAGCCATGGTTATCATATTTTTAGTTTACCAAGTTGAAGATTTTTTAATAAAAAATCGTCTATCTCGCAAGATAGTATGTGTTGTTGCAAAATCAATGAATGCATCATTTGATTCATCATTAGAGGTTCTATCATTCATATAAGCCTCTAAGTCATCAATACCAATTGAATCTATGGACGCATCCATGGTATGAACTTCACGAGTGTTAGCTCGTAATTTCTTATTTTCTTGGAATATTTTAATAAAATATTTTGAAGTATGGCACGCATGTGCTAAATGTCCAATCATTCCATACTTATGGAAGAACGTATCTCTGATTTTTATTTTCTACTATAATTAATAGTAGAACATTTATTCTTTCTATATGGGTAGAAATAGTCTTGATTATGACTACCCTGATACTTATGAGTACATTTCTCATATTTATATAATTTCTTTTTAGACTTTGAAATATTAAGTGCATGAGATTTTGGAACTATAGTTTCAATAGGACGAGCTTCTGCATTGCACAAGAGTAATTCATTTTGCTTCTTCGCAAGAAATAGATAGGACATGAGATCAAAATAACTCTGAAATTTCATGTTCCCATATTGTTGTATAAGCACAACAGATACATGAAGAAATGTAGAGAGAATTTTCTCAATCATTTCTTCTTCAGAAATGCTTTGTCCACATAATCGTAATTGTGAGATAATACTATACATTTCACTATTGAAAGCATTTAAATTTGGAAAATCCAAGACACATAAATGTGTCTAATTATGACGTACACATGGATGAAAAATGGTCTTTTGATGATCAAACCTAGATTTAAGATTCTTCCAAAGTTCAGCAGGATCTTCCATTTCCAAATATTGATGTTGTAATGTAGGTACAAGATGACGACAAAGGAGAAGAAGTGCTTTCCAACGAATAGCAAGAAATATAGAAATACTTGTTGTAGGAGATTCTTCAAACATAATGGCATCCGAGAGTTGTTCTGTAAATAAATTTGCTTTTGTCATTTTTATCCATAATAGATAATTGTTTCCATCCACAGTCAATTGTGGAAATAAAAGAGCTTGAAAATGTTGGGATACACTGGTAATAGTTGGAACCATATTAGAAGCAGTTGAAGATGTTGAAGCACTCATTATAAATAAATCTGTAAAGAAAATACAAGATCAAGTAGAAAAATTGAGTAAAACGTATCCTAAAATATAAAGTCAAATAAAATGATAAATTTGAACTTAAAAAAATAAAATATATATATATATATATATATATATTTTAAGGAAAGAATTGTAGATTAAGGGAGCAAAATAACAATAAGATGGCGGCAATAGGGAGCGGTAGGGATATAGGATAGCAGCGGCAAGCAACGATGAGCGACAATGGCGGACAGCAATGACGGATAGCAGCAGACAATGGTGACAACGACGGGCGGTAGCATGAGCGATAACAGCAGCGAGCGGCAACGTCAACGACGACAGGGTAGCATCGGCAGATTTGGCGACAATTTGGCGGCATGCTCGGGGCGTAGCAGGGAGCAGGGAGCAAGCAGAGGATAGAGTTGGACTAGATAGAATATTCAGAGCAAGCAAAGCAGGGAGTGGAACAAGTGCTCTAAGCAAGAAGCTAATGTGTGAGGGGCCAACAAGAAGAACAAGATCATGATGCAGACACTGAGCAAGGATAGCAACAGGTTTGAAGAGTCAAAAACTAGAGCAAAAAATTGTGATAGTGTGTAGAAGAGAATCATGCTGATAACATGTTGAAAATGTTTAGAAAGACACAAGAGTAATAGTAAGTCATACACACACACAAGAGTAGTAGTAAGTCATACACATACACAAGAATAGTAGTAAGTCATACACACAAGAGGGTTTCTAAGGAGAGAGAGCTTCACACTCAAAAATCTATTGATTTGGTTGTGTCTCGTATACAAGAAGAGAAAAGAGGAGAGGATAAATAGTACTTCTCCACTAAACTCTAAATATTGTAGCTATGGTATTTACTGTAGTCTATAGTAAATATTATGGAGAGCTCCGGCTACATTTAATGATCTCAACAGTTCTCTATGTTTTTCTTCCTTTTCTATAAGACTGCAAGGAACTGGAAAGTTCTAAAAAGGTAACTTTCGCATGTCGATAAAGGATTACAATTCGACCTTTCCTATGGAATGGTTCATTGAAAAGCACACCGGTATTGAATTTTCCAATAGTAATAAGCAGAAAAAGAAAAAGTTGCCGTGTCTATTTCTCATTACTATACTCCTTCTGAAAGTCAACTAATGGTCACCGAACATCAACCCACAACGTACGACCTGTCAACTGAAACCACTAATCTTTTGTACCGCTCCTAACATTTCCGACCTCTACCTTGTTAAAAATGTTACCTGCTGATTAGAACATCGGTCCTCTTCAACATCGCGCCTTGAGCCTTAACAGGCATAAGATCCACCTGGCATGGCATGGTTCCGGCCATTTTTAAAACGAATTCTTGTCGCTTCCGGTTATAATCGTCTGACGCGAAGCATTTTTTCATCTGAACAAGCTCATCATGTCGATGCTGCTGGAGTTGGCCTTGAAGAAGTGGGAGCTGTTTCTTCTTCTCTGCAATTTTCAAATCGCATTGGCGCCCTCGAGCAAGCTTCTCAGCGCGCTCAATCACACTCTCCACAAAGCCAACGCTGGAAGCTGACAATATATCGTCGATTAAACCCACTTTCTTGGCCTGCGATGCTGACACTGGGTCGGTGGAATTCACGAACTGACCTGCGATTTTGAAACCTACCCGTTTAGGTAGGGAGTACGTCCAATACTCGGACCCATACAATTCCATGGCCTTGTAGCTTGGGTGGAGCACCACATTTCCGTGCGCCCATACGATATCCGCCGCAATTGCGGCCATGACGCCACCCGCTCCAGCACTTCCTAGAAATGCTGAGACAGTGACTCGCTTGTTGCAGTTAAGGATTCGAAGCACGACATCATCTATCGCGTTGATGTTCTCCCAAGTCTCCTGGGCGGAATCGGTTGCAGCTTCGATTGTGTTCAAGTGAATCCCATTACTGAAATAATTTATTCCTCCCATCAAGACAAGGACCTGGCTATCGCAAACCTGGTCGATGTGGTCCAGCGCTTGTGCCAAACGGCGGCATTGGTCCGTATTCATTGCGCCGTTGTAGAAATCGAACCACAAGTAAGTGACACCGTTCTGGGTCCAGTAGAAAATCTCCTGAAAAGTTTGTGGCCAAGATCTCATTGGAATCTCCATCTCAGGGTCGCCGATACGTGGAAGAGTTTCCAGTAGTGAGGTTGGCAGCACCATCACAGCTGGTAGTTTGATCGACTTTACAGTTTTTTTCAAGTGGGTGATCCACAGCGTTGTCCCCTCGCCGCAACGAATCAAAACAGCGCCGTCTCGCTGTCCGAGTAAGTCCATCGGGGCCGATCCAGGATGCAACTTCGGCGGATTCCTTTCGACATGGGCACCAAAGAGCAAATACTTCTCGCCAGCAATAACGGACTGCGTTCCAGGCTGAGAGTCCGAGGCGCGGATGATCTCAGCGAGCTCGTCGGCAGGAAGATTCCAATCCAGTCTGCGATCTGCCTGCATCATTCTTGGCCGCAACGACCCTCTAACACAAGGGTTCGTGTAATCCAAGGGTCTAGGCGCGATGTCGTACTTGAGATTATGAAGAACTTCGTCGAGACACTTCATAGCGGCGTCGACGCAGTCAATTCGGTAGAGGCTCGACTTTGTTGGTGATTCTCCAAAATCTCGACTGATTCTAAAATTTTTGGTTGCCCAAATCGGTCCAGCATCCATCTCCTCTTCAGCTTGCAGGATCGTCACACCCCACTCTTCCTGCGACTCTTGAAGCGCCCAGTCAATTGACGACATGCCCCGATCGCCTTCTATTCCAGGGTGAATTACAAGACAGGGAACGGTACCATTATAAATGGCTTCAGGAATACGTTTTGTAAGAAAAGGACAGAGAATGACGTCGGGCTCGAAACAATCAACAGTGGCAATCATCGTATCACCATCCTTCCATTCATGCACGATGACTTGATGGCCATTCTCTTGTAGTTTGAGGAAAGTCCGTTGCGTCATAGAGTTGAACGCATCGCAGACAAGTAGAAAAGAAAGCTTCATTGCAGCCGCTGGCACTGCAGAGGTCGATTCTTCAGTTCGAAGCGGTTCACGACAAGGCGCAATCGTATTACAAATTGGTGAGGGGCGAGAACTCCTAGCCTTGGGCAGGCGTATAGAAGAGGATAGGCACGCAGCCTTGACATCCAAATTCGAGAACGAAAAAGCAATAGCCTGATCCCTCGAACACATCGAACGCCAGGAGTCAGAACAAGCGCAGGCCCCGATCGCCTGCACAAATTGAATGGAGTTCATGTCGACCTCGGATCGTTAGAATGTAAGGACAACCGCAGATGACGCGGCAGGCTGCCACACTATTAATGCAGGTCTCGACTGCGGAGACAGCTTCGGGACGCGGACCGTTAACCACAAGTTCGACAGAACCACAACGATTCCGAAAACCAGGGAGCTACCACGGAGCTTCAGATCGAAACCGTGCGTTTCAAGTTCAGTCTACGCAACTGATGAAAAGTTTGATTGGTTGCGTCGATGAGCAACCGATTCAGATCTGTGAAGTTTATACAACCAGGTTAGGGGGCAAAGCGCTGTTCGATCTGCATGAGGTGCAATGGATGTGGGTCAGGGATGTGCAGACCAGGGCAAGGGGGCTTGAATCGATGGATTAGTGGGGCAGTGAGGCAATCCGAGGGCGCTCAGCCCAGCGCGGGGAAGTCGATGGGGAGGCGATGAGACCGACGCTGTTCATCGGGTGCAGATGCTGTTCCACTCCTCGCCCCCACCCCGCCCCTCCCCATTTTTGTCCACACCTTCACAAGAAAAGGACACCCCACTTGAGCAGAATGAGTTAATGAGGGCAATGACATATTGAGCAGAATGAGTTAATGAGTGCAATGACGTATTCAGCAGAATGAGTGAATTAGGGCCATGATATATTGAGCACAATGAGTTAATGAGAGCAATAATATTCTCATTGCTACGAGAGTACAATCTTTTGGAGAGAAAGAAAGAAGATGGAATAAAATTTGTGGAGAAGTTTGTTATCAGTACACAGATGATGATGCCTGTAGTCAGGTTCTTAAATTAGACTTGGTTATTTTTGGAACAATTGTTTTCTTTTTCTGTAATTAAATCTATTTCTGTAGAGGGTATGATTTGTTAATCAGGTTATTGTTTTCTTGTGGTGATTTTGTAGGGAGATTTAATAGATCACATCTTCCTTGTTTGACGCCCGGAATCACTTACGTTTCATAAAACTTGTTATTCCGCTATTTATCTAAATCTTTTTATGGCATAATTTTAACAGTCAACCTCGGTTTTGGATTTCTTTAAAGGAAATTGGTAATATTGTTCTTCAAACAATATGAATAAATAAATATGTCATTTAGCACTCTTGTTTAAACACCTCTTATATTACTTGCAAACTATGAAGGTTTTAAGGTTTGTTTAAGGCTCTCCCCTTGAAAACCATCTACCAACAACTATTTAGACTTTTATTTTCTTCTTACTATGTAATTGATGCAAACAAAGTGTCATTTTTAAATACCTAAAAAATTAATCATTTTAATTTTAATCCCAATCAACATAGTCTATAAATATTCTGGGATCCAAATCTATATATCATAACATTTTTCTTGTCATTTATCATTTATATATTAAATTTATATTTTTTCACATAATATGTATATATATATATATATATATGTACACAATAAACTATTTATAATTTTTTATCTTTTTTTAAAAAATAAAAAATGAAAATATGTATTTTTTATAATTAAATATTTTATGTAATAGATATTAAATTATTTTTATTATATACAATTATGTGCAGTTTTTTCTTATTTTAAAATTAATTACATACATATATGTATAGAGAAAGAAAAAAAGATATATTCTTATTTAAATCACTTGTAGTCAATTTATATTTGAATATTTTATTCATGTAGATGATTATTATGACCAAATTTTACCAAAACAATCATTTATTATTTATTTTATTTTTTATTTTTTATTTTTTTAAGAAATCCTACAATATTATATATATATATATATATATTAATTTAATAAAATCATATTAAATAAGCTAAAAATATAGTATAAAAAATAATATCAAACATATTTGTATGAGGTATAAAATTAAAAATCTTAGTCTCTAAATTAGTTGTAATAATTAAATTTTGACATTATCTTGTACTTATAAAATTGCATAACAAAGTGTTTCTGAATTATAATTACTATCCTTATCTTAAGAGAATCAAGCTGAAACTATGCACCTATAAAACTTTCTAAATTAACATATTCAAACCGTTAATATTTTCTAATTTACATAGAATTATAAAATAATAAAATTATTCTTTGAAATCTTATAAAACATAATTTAAATCATGTTAAATAGGTTTCGTATTATTGTATAAACTGGAATTTCTATAAAAATATTTTATATCAATATGTATGTATGAATGTAAATAAAAAATATATAAATGCATAAAATATTAAAAAGAAAAAAAAAATTACATTTTTTTCTTTTGCATTTGTGCACAAACTCAAGCAAAAATAGTATAAAGAAAAAATCAAATAATTATATAATGTATTTTTAATTTTATTATTGGATACTATATTTTATTGATATATATATATATATATATATATATATATATATATATAATGTTATACGTAATGTGATATTTATATTTCAGTACGTTTTTATGAATTAAATGATATAAATACAAATTATTTATCTATAAAGATAATAAAAAAGTATTCTTTATTAAATAAGGAATTATCTTTTATTTTATATTTTAGAATAATAATTTTTAAATTCAAAAAATAGAATTTTCCTTCTAAAAAAATGTTTAAAAAATGATCTTTAAAGAAAATAACTTCAATGTAAAATTAAAAATGCTTTAAATATTTTATATATTTAATTATACTATTACTTAATTTTTATTTTTTAGATTATAAAAAAAATTCTATATATTTTAAAAAATAAAAATAATATATATAATTCAAAATTAATTGTCAAACCAATTTAAATAAAGTTATCAAATATTTTTCATGTGTTTCTTTTATAGTTATCTTAATTTATTTTTAATAGATTTTCAAAACTTGATGTACTAAAAATGTTATCCATGAAGAATATATTAATATTTAGGCTCTTTAATTAAAATTATTTACATTTTATTAAAGAATTTCAATCTGTACAAATTCCATTTTAAATAAACTCTCTTAATGTTTTTTACTCAATATATAACCAATTATATTACTTTTGCTATGATTTTTATTTTTTAATAGCACTAGTTAAGTTGGAAAAAGAAATAAGAATAACCAATTAAAATTTACTTCTATTTCTATCTAATAATATATATATATATATATATATATATATATTTCATGATCACCAATTTTCACTTTCATGGATTTGATTCTCACCAATAACCACTTTTATATATTAGGCTTTATGTTTCTTTGTGAGAATCAAATCCGTGAAAGTAGGTTTTATTGGTATTTGTTGGTGGCATCTTATTTTTGTTCCAAGCTACCATTTAAAAATGTTGAAGGATTTTCACTACTCAATCTTTTTTATTTTTTATTATGGTCTTTTGTAACAACCCTAGTCTGTTTATATTGTGTTTTATTCCCTCCATATCAATACAACCTTCTTTTAAAAAGTGTACCAAAACCATGGATACCTTGAAATAAAAATTATCTCATTTTGCAATCCATTCAATATTTTTATTTATTTATTATTTAGTATTTCACTATCCATGTTTCTATCTAACAAACAAAATTTTATTCTATCTATAATTACTATCTTAAATTGATTATGTTGTATTTTTCAATATTTAAGAATTTGCCACCAAATTGTAATGTATAACAATGGGGCCACAACTTTACAACTAGTACTTGTCGAACAATGAATTTAGTTGGAAAAAGTGTACCACTCAAAAGTGCTCCTCAAGTTATATTTGAAGGGACTTACAAAGAAACTACAACAAAACAAAATTGAAGGGAATTATTTTATCCTACTATTGTCTTAATCTTTAAATTATACATCCTTCTTGGCCCTTATAGAAATTTGGCTACAACCTCTAGTTAAAAAATTAGAAGTCAAGATGTCTGCAAAAACTTTTCCTATTGACTTGAGCAATATAACACAAACACGCCACACTACAAGTCTTTACCCTGCATAAAGTTTGTACAGAGACGAGCAAAAGAAATCACCACCACCACCACAGGCCATTGTTATTTACATTTTTGAATGTGTTGTTTATTGGATTATTATTTTTTATTACTCATCTTCCCCTGGATGTAATCGTTCATCTATTCAGAATATCATTCATTCAAACTCTCATCCATCCGGAATGCGGTCCGAATCGGGAAGGATTCGTGACGGTGGGACTAGTCCATGCACGTGCGCTGTTGCTTTAGGGCACGTGCGTGGACGGATTCAGTTGCGACTAATTTTGTCGAAATTCCATTGGCGCTCATTGTGGTATACTGTAATCGTGCCGTCTAATGTCAACCAGTTTTTGTCTAATTTTTTTTTTTCTGACGCAAACGGGGGCCAGTCCACCGAATTCAGTCGAAGTCTTCTCTCAGCTTTTAAAATCTACCACCTACCGAAATAATCTGTGAAGTGTTGCTCTCTCCGGACACGATAGGAATCGTTTGTATACAGTGGCGGAATGAGTGACAGTTTACGAAACTTCACCTCCTCGAATGGGTCACAACCTTCCTCACGTTTCGAACCATCAACGCTCGTGCCGACTCAGATTTTAAAGCTGAACCATCTCTTCTGTCACATAGCTTGCGTCCCTTGCATTTCGAGCTGTGAACACGGTGTCCTCGCTCCTGAGACTCAGGACTTTGTTGTCCTTCGGAATCGGTTCACGTTAGTTGACATGATACGCTTCGAATCCGCCTGGAATCTTGCGCAATTAGTATTGGTAACGTATTGATAATTCTTGTAGGATTAAACAACGTTAGTATTATTGTATTAAAAAAATGTTAGTGATAAATATAGAAAATGCAGTGTTAATAGAGTTTTTAATGGTAATAACACTTGTTTTGATAATATATAATAAAACATTGTTATATACGATTTTTAAACAACTATCAATGATAGGCACAAATATATGGTGTACAACGTGTTGTTTAACATGCTTTTTTCTATTTTTTTTTGTAAAATACATCTATTGGTTATTTTAACTATTATACTATGTCCTTTTATTATGGACACATCTATCTATGGATACAACTTTTATTCTAAGTCTTTTGAAACTTGAATAATAAAG